ACTGTACAACCTATATCCAACCTAAACAATAAACAATGAACAATAAACAACAAACAACTCACACTGTAACCTTAAAAATAAACAATAAACAACAAACAACTCACACTGTACAACCTATATCCAACCTAAACAATAAACAACGAACAATAAACAACAAACAACTCACACTGTACAACCTATATCCAACCTAAACAATAAACAAAGAACAATAAACAACAAACAACTCACACTGTAACCTTAAAAATAAACAATAAACAACAAACAACTCATACTATACAACTTATATCAAACCTAAACAATAAACAACAAACAATAAACAACAAACAACTCACACTGTAACCTTAACAATAAACAACAAAGAACTCACACTGTACAACCTATATCAAACCTAAACAATAAACAACGAACAATAAATAACAAACAACTCACGCTGTAACCTTAACAGCAAACAATAAACAACAAACAGAGAACAACAAACAACTCATATTGTAACCTAAACAACAAACAACAGACAACAGAGACCACAGCCCAAACAATAAACAACACATACCATAACCTAAACAATAAACAACAAACAATAAACAACAGATACTGTACCTAAACAATAAACAACAAACATTAAACAACTTATATCAAACCTAAACAACAAACAGTAAACAATAAACAAATGATTCCATGACCGAAACAATAAAAAATTAGACAATAATCAACAGACAGACATGTAAACAATAAACAATAACACATAAATAAATGGCAGACAGTGTAACAGTAAACAACCAGCAAACAACAGACAGAACCGTAATGTGATGGTAAACACTGAGGACAGTAAATAAAAACAATCAGTAATGTGAACATGTCCACAGTCAGATTTATGGGTCTTATTTGCCCTGAGTTTTTCCTGTCAGGCTACAGTCAGCCTGACACAGCATCGGAGGACCTGCAGGAAGAACTCAGGGCTGAAAAACACCCTGTAGTCTCCGTGGTGACGTGCAGCTGACTGTGTCATAAAGACACATCAGTCATTGAAAAGGTTCGTCAATAACAACGTGTCCTCGGTCTACTTCTCCAGAGACACATCCAACGCTCCAGCTACTCTGCATGTTCCTGCTGATGACAGCGAGAACTCACCGTCAGGACCAATCAGAGAGCCAACACAGTGATCCGTTGTCATGACGACAGAACAGAAGGATCAGCTGAGACAAGGTCTTTTTAACATTAAACTCTGTTAACAAACAGGAAACAGTTTAAACTCAGACTGAGCTGATGTCAGAATCGTGCACCGCAGCGGCAAGTTTATTAAACAGCTGAAAACATAACTGTGATTCTGAACAATACATTTTATGAGTCGAAGAACTGGACTCATCCGTCGGAGGAGAATAACATGAGAAATCACACATGAAGCAGAAGTTTGAACAGGAATTATTATTATTATTATTATTATTATTATTATTATTATTATTATTATTGTTATTGTTATTAAAGACGACCCAAAGGTCTGATTCAATAAAAACCTCCATGATCAGCTGGAGGTCGCACAAAAGCACTCTTGTAAGATTTGAATCAAATGCTGTCTCATTACGACACTTTGGCTTTAAAGGAGCAGTTCAGCATTTACAGACACAAAACTAGCTGTGCTAAGCTATGCTAACAGTTTCTCCTGCTCCCAGTCTAAGGTCTGGATCTACATCAGGTCTGTACCAGACTCTCAGACACTGATGGAGTTCATTAGGGATCCATCCTGGGGCCTCTGACGTTTTCCAGCTTCTCTTCTGTCACAGATCTGTTTTTAATCCATCAGCTAATGTAAATACATCTGTCTGTCTACCTGTCTGTCTGTCTGTCTGTCTGTCTATCTGTCTGTCTGCGTCAAATTCAGTTTCCATCTGTCCGAGACGAGTTGACCTGACAGCAGGACGTCTACAGAAAGTGACCATTACAGAGTCAACTGCAAAAAAATGTTCTTTGCCTGCGGACTGATTATTTCAAACATTAAAACGATGGATACTGTGGACGTTTGTCATCATATCCAAATCATATATCAGATTACAAAGCGCAGCGTTTCAGATCTTAAAACGTGTGTCAGTCTCACTTCAGATAATCAGAGGTTGTTATGATGGATGGATCTTCAGAGTCATCCGTCCGTCCGTCGCCCACCCGTCCGTCCGTCCGTCCCTCTGTCTGTCCCTGTATTTCTGTCTCATTTTAATATTTAATAAACCAGATGAACTCTTCTTTACAGGTGTTTAAACTGTTCAGAATTCAGTAACGTCACCTGAAGTCCTTCTGTTTATAGATTCTGCTGAGGCGGAGGAGACGCTGGATGTATGATGAGTGTGTATAACTATAATGTATGTGTGTGTGTGTATACACAACAAGTGTGTATTTGGAGGACGGATCCCAGTGAAGCTTTAAAGTGTTTGAGCAGCTGCAGGAGACTCTTCTTGTCGTCTGATTGGTCGAAATGTCATTGATGATGAAACTTCATGAAACATATTTGAATTAAAAATCTGTACAGAGCTGACAGGAAGTGAACTCACACACACACACGCACACACACACACACACACACACAAACACAGCGTCTCACCTTCGATGGCAAATGGTTTCCCCACAGTTGCCAGTTTACAGTCGGCGTCGATGGAAACTTCATAATCCAGCAGAGCTTTGTCCATGATGAAGGCGTCCAGCTGAGGAGGATCTGTCCTTCAACACACAGCAACACTGTTACTACAGCAACTACTGTCAGCAACTACAGCAACTACAGTCAGCAACCACAGCTTGCTAGCTTGGTAGCTAACGAGCTGGTGAACTAACTAGTGGAAAGATTGTCTATGAAGGAAGGAAGGAAGTTAAGAATCAATCAATCAATCAATCAATCAATCAATTTTATTTATAAAGCCCAATATCACAAATCACAATTTGCCTCACAGGGCTTTACAGCATACGACATCCCTCTGTCCTTATGACCCTCACAGCTGATCAGGAAAAACTCCCCAAAAAAAACCCTTTAACGGGGAAAAAAAACAGTAGAAACCTCAGGAAGAGCAACTGAGGAGGGATCCCTCTTCCAGGACGGACAGACGTGCAATAGATGTCGTACAGAACAGATCAGCATAATAAATTAACAGTAATCCGTATGACACAATGAGACAGAGAGAGAGAGAGA